TCTCGGGCCCCCAAGAATTTGAAGCCAAGAACTCCTGTGTAGGTTGTTGCCCCTTGGACATGGTTTGGCAAGGTGAGGGTGTAAGGATAATAATACTACAAAAGAGGGACTTTTGACGACGAAATTTGCAGCGACGGGTTCATTTCGTCGCTAAAAGAAGCCTTCCGCGATGAAATTTTATCTTGCCGTGAGCCTAAAGTAAGAAAGACAGGGACTTGGACTCTTGTCTTGTCCCTATCAGTATCGTAGATCAGCCTTCTCGGACATGGTTCAAGGGGTTTAAGCCAGAGAATTAAAGTGAGAGCTTTTGTGCATGGACCCTAACAAAGCAAAACCGATAACATATATGTACACTGCACGGTGGTTCCTTAGTCGACATATGTGAAATAAGATTTATTATCCAATCTCTACAGCAACTCAGAGTTATAGAAATTTGGGTCCAACTGATTTTTGACATGGTAACAGCGCTTTCTGTGATCAATAATCCGATGTTCGAACCCTCACGACCTCATTTGTTATGCACATGACATTCCAAACATGTATAAACTTCAAGCTCATATAAATGGTCTTCGTTTGACGAGGTGTGTTAGTATACGGTATAAAATTCATAATATTGAATTTCTTCCAACAACTTGAGTTATATATTGGTACCGACGGATTATTGGCATACTGCTGATCCACTTGTCAATAATTTCCACCACTAATCATAGGATGAGGCCTAAAAGAAGGAAAAAAGCAGTCTTGCACAATAGATCACGATCGTTGTCAAGAGAGAGAGACGACTGACCTTGTTTCCAAGCGATGAATTGAAAATTGATGGCTAAGTTTCAACTTTAGGGCCGTAAAAGAGAGATTACGATGAATCTCTCTTTCGAGTATTCTCTCTATCAACTGCACGTTACATGCATGCTAGTTACATATACGTAAACGCGTAACATTCCGGCGACAAGGATGGATCGTCTCCTTTTGGCCGGCGCGCTGACCGGTCGTTTCTCCGACCATGCCACGTCGAGAAACCAAACTCGATCGACGTCGTGAAAGTCTCAAAGGCTCAGGACCATTATTAATCTTACTAAAGCATCAAAGTGAAAGCAAACCATGACCACGAACATTGACAACTAAGCTTTCGTATGGAGGATTTATTAGCTAGTGATAATGCCACTTTACTAGGCCAATTGAGTCGTGATGAAGTTCTCTAACACATTATATGTGGTGGGGAGTCCAACATGAAGAGAACATCGCCTAGAAAGAAATATCTTTATCAACCTATATTCACAAGTTCGATTTATTTAGGATTTGTTTGTGGGAGGAAATGGTTAAGATTTATATATGGACATTTTTCAATCACTCGAGTAATTGGGATCGACTGGTTTATGACATATCATAACTTATTTGTACTTGAGGTCACGTGCTTTAGCACGTGACATGGTGTGGCCTATGCAAACTTCAAGTACATGAGTTGGATTTCGTTTGAGGAAGCGTGTAAGAAGTGATTAAAACCCATACATGTCTTCTACCAACAACACGAGTTCTTAAAACCAGTTGGTTAAGGACAGTTTGATTATGTTCGAATTAGGTTACATCCACAAAGATGACAACACTCTTTGTATCAAACATGACAACACTCTTTGTATCAAACATGTACTTACATCCAAAAAAAAATCTCGCACCTTGTCATTATCAAATCAGACAGTCACTCTTGGGAACGGATCAGGTCAGTAACCCTATGATGAGTAACTATGAGTAACCCGCCCACATCAGCATGACATCAGCATCCTCTCTCTCCTGGAAAGCCTTTAATTTTCCCCTCCTTAATCTTTGACGGACGGTTTCTCACTCGTTTTAAGTCGAAATTTAATTTTTTTTGCACAGTTAGATCATATTAATTGTGCTCTTCAAAATGATATCCACTTTGATATTTTTTCGAACAAAAAAATTGAGCCATTTTTTACCAGTCTATACCATATGGTATTGACTGGTATTGAAATAAGAGCATACCTATGGTTTGAAAAGTGTACCATGGTGGTATGACACAAACCAAAACTGTAGGATGGTTGAATACATGATAGTAGAAGTATATTAATTGTCATTTACGACTTTTAACATTGTATACCATAAGATACCATAAGATACCACCCCGTACCATGGTGGTATTGTATGGTATTGTGTGGTATTTTTTTGTCTTGTAATTTGTTCACCCAGAAATTTGTAAAACCAATAGATCATGACGAACTCGTCCCTACTGTGCAAACGTTTTCAAAAACGAATTAAAAACGAAGAAGATACCATATGGTATGCAGTTGGTACCGAGAGGCCAGAATTTTTTTTTCCTCAAAAAATATTGAAAATTGATCTCATTTTGTAGAGCACGATGAACTCGTTCCATTTGTGCAAAAAAAATTAAAATCCGAGTTAAAACGAAAAAGATATGAGTCAATTAAGAAAGCTAGTGAAAATAAAAATGGTCTTTAATTCTCCATCCTTAGATCTGGATTTTCTAAATGAAGGGTCCAGATTTGATTATTGATAGGTGCATAACCCATGGTTATGCACCCTAACTTGAGCCGTCACTCTTACCCAAACAAAAAAAAAAGCCAAATACACTTGTGTAGCCAAAATTTTGATGGTTTTGCCAAATATAGCCAATTTTGGGGAAATACCAAAAATAGCTAGAATTTTGAAAGTTAGATGACAATTATAGTCATTTCCGTTACATAGTTTGACACCGTTAGTTTAATTAACAGAACGATGATCTGGCTGCCAACTCACCGGACACATCATCGACAACTCACCAACACTTGCCACATGTATGCCAAGTCATATTTTAATTTAAAAATAAATAAAAAATTATTATATGAAAAATTATAAAAAAAACAATTATTAAATTATTCCCTTCATCTTGGTCGCCCACCCCAATCACTACCATTACCAAATTCTCACCAACATCAGCACCGCCGATGTTGGGCTCAGATTTACGGCGTCTCCACCAAACTGCTCGCCATCCTTCAACCTTTACCCCTAAACGGAGATAGATGGGGAATAATAATTTCCCCCATATTCCCACCAAGAGCAATACATCTTCTCCAAATCGTCGTTTGCATAATCAACTGAGTTCTGCATATCTTGAGAGAGGGAGAGAGCGAATTCGAGCGAGAATAGAAAGATGGCGGGACAAAGCGAGCTTTTCTCCTGCTCTCGTCTCCTGCCAACATCGCCAAGCTGCAGTGAAATTCCCCATATGTTCCGGTAAGCTTAATTAGCATCGGCGTAGAGGTTTAGATTCGTCTGCTGGTCCGGGAATTCCATCAAGGGCGAGAGAGTTTTGGGTTGCTTGGAGCTCCCGTAAGCGCGTTTGAGTGATTGTGGGATGTAGTGTCGGCAATAGTGGTTTGCGGTAGGGATTGGGATTTGGGGGCACGCCGGCACGGGTTGAGGGAGATTATAACGGAAGAGAGAGAAGGTGAGTTCTCCATCGACTTCTAGCTCTTGATTGGTGGTGAAACTTGGTGGCCAGATGTGAAGCACCCATTAAAATCGAGGGCCAAATCTACAATGAACATATTTCCATCTCCGACCTCACTTCTATGTCGCTTCGTCTCCTTCATCGGCGTTGTTGTTGCCGAAATCGATTGGCTTGGATTCCTCTGTCCCTGGCGAAGACGATGGCGGCCCGGAATAAATGGTGTCGCCGACTGTTTAACAACCATTGATTCCGCAATGGTTTCCTTAGGCTCAACGCCGATATCGACAACACCGACAGCGAGTCGGGCGTCATCTGGGAACCCCACCCTCAGAACTTGGTTCCACTCTTGCAACGGCTGAATCTTCCAGAGGGTAGCGAGTGCGGCTGCGGGATTGCTTTTCCGGTGGATTTGGGAAAGTGGTGAAAAGGAAGGTAGATCTGAGGTGAGTGGAGAAAAAGAAAGGTAGGTCTACTATGAGTGATGGGATCTCTCTCCGCCGCAGTGGCGCAACAGATATGGAGACCAAATATTGATCTCTGATGGCTCCGAAGTAGGGGAAGTTTCAGGAATCAATTGATGGCCCACAATCGGAGTCGGTAGGGTTCAAGCAGGATGAAAGAAAGCTCGTGGGTGAGGATGGAGTTGATCTCTCATCCTCCTCCTCCTCCTCCTTTGTTTTCTTCTCCGGTTGTGAACAGAGAAACGGCGACGGAGCGGCACAGAGTTGGAGATAGTGATGGCGGCGATGGCTGTGGTGAGGTGGCAGAGAGTTTCCGTTGCTGGGGAAAGTGTTAATTTTTTTATTATTTCTTAGGTTTAATACACTTGTATATCCAAAATTTTCACGGTTGTGCCAATAATAACCAAATTTCCCAGAATACCACTTATATCTATGTTTTAAAGTTGTTCTTTGCCAAATCTATCCATTTTCCAATATATTTTTGGTTAAATACACTTGTATATCCAAAAACACCGTTAAAGAATGTGAAGGAATTGGATATAAGTGGTATTTCGGGAAATTTGGATATTATTGGCACAACCGTGAAAATTTTGGATATACAAGTGTATTTAACCTATTTCTTATTTAGTTTGATTAAAATAAAGGATAAACTTTTGATTATTTTTCACCTAATATTATTTTTTAATAAAATATGCCGCGTCATCCGCTGCTGTTAGTCTAATCAGCACGTTAACTAACGTCGTCAAACAATTGGACGAAAGTGGCTATTTTTGATATTTTGCCAAAAGTGACTATACTTGCCAAAATGTCATACAAGTGTATTTGGGGAATAAAATCAGACAGTCAGAAACTAATTCCTAAACCACATGCATTACCCAGGCCAGCCCAATAACAACAGATTGAACCCCCCCCCCCCCCCCCCCCTACTGGGCCGAGCTCAACCGCTTCCCAAGCCCAAACTTCCAAACACAATTCTCTTCTGCGCCCAATCTAGTTTAGGCCAGCCCAACTCAATCTCCATCACGCGTGCATCTCACGCACTAGGGCTTTACCAAGGGTTTTTCGTTTCTCTTCTTCTCTGCAACATTCCCTTCTCCAAAGGAGGAGGAACTTCATCCCACCTCCGGCAGTCACCGACCAAAAATGGCGAACTAGCAGAAAGCCCTTTTTTCTCCTTCACGTTACACTCTGACCACACCCACCTTCAAGCTCCTGTGAAAACCTCAAAACAAACCCATAATCCGCCATGATCGCGAAGAAAGTTCCCCTCTTCCCCCCCAAAACCCTCTCTCAATCCGTCCTCGTTTCCTACTTCTCCACCTCGTCTCCGTCTCAATTCCAGCCTCACCAGTCGTGGAGGCAGCAGCAGGAGGAGGATTCGAGGTCCGTGAGTGTCGCGGTGTGGTGGGATTTCGAGAATTGCAATTTGCCGGCTGGGGTCAATGTGTTCAGAGTGGCGCAGACCATCACGGCTGCGGTTCGGGCCAACGGGATCAAAGGTCCCGTTCACATCACGGCGTACGGAGACGTCTTCCAGCTTTCTAGGGCGAACCAGGAAGCTCTTGCCTCCACTGGAATCAACATGGCTCACGTCCCCAATGGCATTTCCCTCCCCCCCTCTCTCTCTCTCTCTCTCTCTCTCTCTCTCTCTCTCTCTCTCTCTCTCTCTTTGTTCTTCATTTTTATCCCGCATTGCTTATCTGGGTTGCTACTGTTGATTCTAAAGATTCAACCTTGGTTGTTGATGTAGAGAATTTGATGGGGAAATGTATAGAGATTGAGTTGTGTATGGATTGGATTAATGTTTTTGTCTTTTTGAGTATTGTGATCACTGATCAAGTCCTTGATTTTGGAAGAGAATTAAGGTATGGTGGTTTTTGGAATCTGTGAGATAGGAAAACTCTGTGCATTTGAGAATGTGTGGGTTTGAAGTAAGTGGACTTATATATTAGATCAAGTGATTGTAAGGATATGCAGTTGGAAGATTGTTAGAACGTCAGAGTATGTGAATTTTTTCTGACATGCTTTCTCAAGGATTGCATAATTAACAAACGGTTCTGAGTTTTTTTCTTTTTCTTTTTTCATTCACATTGTTGCAGGAGGGAAGAACAGTGCAGACAAGTCTCTTCTAGTGGGTCTAATGGACTGGGTATCCCAAAATCCACCCCCAGCCCATTTGTTCCTCATCTCCAGTGACAGAGATTTCGCGAGTTGTTTGCACAGGCTGAGGATGAACAATTACAACATCTTGCTTGCAGCTAAAGAAGGTACGCGGGGCGTTCTATGCAGTGCTGCAAGCATCATGTGGCACTGGAACGATCTACTGAAGGGCGAGAACTTGGTGGGGAAGTATTTCAACCAACCTCCTGATGGTCCTAAAGGCTCATGGTATGGTCATTACAAGTTACCCTTAGAAGATCCATTCGCGGTTCCTGAGCCTACACCGGCACCATCACCACCACCAGTTTCTCCCAAGGTCGACGAGGAGCATGTAGATTCTATTCGCCCCATACCAAAAGCAGTGATGAAGCAGATTCAACAGATTTTGAACTCACACCCTGAAGGTATCAAAATAACTGACCTTCGAGCCGAGTTGATGACTAGCAATTTGGCAATCGATAAGGAATTTTATGGCCATAAGAAGTTCTCCCTATTTCTCTTGGCTATGCCACAAGTGTTGAAGCTTCAAAACAAGGGGGAGGGTAGGTTTCTCGTGCGAGCTGTTCCTGGCAGAACTCATGATCCATCTGGAACTCTAGTTACCACAGCTACTGATATACATAATAATAATGTGAACCCGGTTCCTTCTGGCTCTTTGAAGATGGATACCGACGGTGTAGCTGAGAAGAATTTGCCACCATTGACCTCATCGGAGCCAAATGTCAGAGCTTTGGAAGTGGATGTTCATGGCAAGGAATGCAACTTTCCTGTTAGTGAAAAGGTCTTGGAGAAGGCTAATGGACAGGAAACAGATAAGCAGTCATCTGTAGTGAAGAATGGAGAGCCTGACATGGGATTTTTCGGGACTCTTCGAAAGATTTGGTATGGAAGCTCTGAGAAGGGAACTGATGACTCTCTGGAAAAAACTTCCACTGACAAGCTTGGAAGAGACGAAGTTGATGAAAAGAACCGTGAATTGCCTAGCAGAAAGTTAGAAGCATCTACTCAAAGCCCGGCAAGTGAAAGCGACAGCAATTCAGCTGTGTCTAGTGAAGACTTGAGCAGAAATACAGGTTTGTTTAGTCGGATTAAGAACTGGTGGAAGTCTAGGGGAAGCCGTGTAGAATCTGTACACGATCAACCCAGCAAAGTCCTTGATCAGAGAATTGTGGACATGAAAGACCATGAGGTCTTTTCTAAGGACGCGTTCTGGAGGGTTATGGAGTCCTTTGTTAGGACACAGAAGGGGTCGCTAGCTATAACAGAATCCAGGACAAGGTTCGTGGTTTTGACTTGCTTTTACGTGTCTCTCCTTCTTAGATGATGATTTTAAGTTGTGGGTGGTATGAAGTATGAACTTATGTTCCCTTTTTTATCATATTGGCGATCTCCAATCCAAAATGGTCTCTAAACTAAAAATAATGTTAATATGCTTGCTCGATTAAGTAATTTGTAGCAAAACAGCCCCTCGGTCTAATACCTTGTGGGTTTGGTTGAGTAACGTGCTAAATAGACCTGTCATGGCCCAAAAATGAACTGACCAGCCCCCCATGCACCCACTTGGCTCAACCCTTTCCAACTTACAAAACTGACTTTCAACCCTTGAGCAAACAGTGAGCCAGCGATTGAAATCATCCTTGAGTTGGAAAGTGTTGAGTCACGGTGGGTGCACGAGGTCCTGATTGGGCGATTTGGACGATAGACAGAGCTGATTTGGATCCTCACGACACTTAACTAGCGACAGTTTACCTGAATGTGGCAGAGTCTTTGGTTGCTATAAATCATTTAGTTTAGTTTGTATTTTGTGCCAATTTTTAATTTAGTCACCGTTTTTTACAAACTCGATGTTTGGTGATCATTAAGACAGTAAACCCGGAATCGGAACACAACTTTTTTAGTGTTGAACAATTCTTTTGGTACACATCAGAAGGACTCGTTGTCAATACTATCTTTCTCAATGCTGATTATCCTGTTTTTCAATTTCAATTTCCCAGGGAACAGATGGCAACGAATCTGCAAAATGAAGGACCTTTGCTTCTGAAATCTCTCAAGGAACCTGACCTACTTCTGTTGGTAGACATCTTGATATCACAAAAGAAATGGGTGGATGAATGTCCCTCCGGATCTTCCCCTTTTAAGGTCACTCTATCTAGGGATAATGCAGCCCGGACCACTTCTCAGGGATCCAGTGGATTGAGGTCTTTGTTTCTGAAAGAAAGGCATCAGGGTGTTTCTCATACTGGTGTTACGCCCCCCATCGCTTACACGAAATCCTCTGATCGATCTAGAAGTGAGATACTGATGGACTGCAGGAACCTTGTGCAGCAAGTGGTGAAGAAATACCCCTATGGTTACAACATGGGCGCTTTCCGAAAGTTGTTCCTCGAAAGGTATGGTTACCATCTTGACATCCAGAAGCTCGGGTACCAAAAGTTGGCAGCTTTACTGGAAATAATGCCAGGAGTGAAAGTCGAATCTACTCACATCCTTCCGTCTACCAAAACCCTAAAGTCTAACTCTGATGGTGAATCATCGAAGAAGGAGAGCGAATCAGATTCTGCGTGGGATGAGCTCGGTCCTCCGGATGCCAACTCATCATCCCAAAAGGATCCTGATTATGAGCCTTGCCTGTCTGAAGACGATAATGATGATGTGGAATCTGATTCAGAACCCGAGACTCTGGCTGCTTCAAGCAGCAGTCGACCTGAACAAAACTGTACGAAGTCCAATGAGGAAAATAGCTCGTTGCTAGAGATTCTCGATACATGGTATGGGAGTCAGAACGAGGAAACTGGAGGCAAGAAAGAGGAGTCTAAGAGGAATGATGAGGGGAATGCTACAATTAATTTGCAGCAGCTTACCAGTTCGTCTGGACAAGTTGGAAAGACGGCTGAGGCAACTACTACTCATATGGCATGCTCTGGAGGGACGATGCAGAAACCGGTAAAGACTTATTCTTTCGTCGATGATTCGGTCTGCCCTGCGGATCAGCAGCATAAGGTCATTGATGGGATCTTAAGCAGGTTGAAGAACACTAGTGATTCGAGGATGCCGAGTTGATTTATTGCGCGTTAGGGATGTTCTACCTTTTGTAGGGTTAGATGTGAACATAGTATGGGAAACTAGGTAGCTACTGCTGCAAAATTTCTGGTACCATTGGTTGTTTAGGTTAGTTTCCTCGGGTATCGTTTTAAGCCGACAAAGAGAATCGATGATTGTGAAATCGATATCGGAGACTAGCTATATTATTAGTTACAAGTTCGGTTATTCGGAATTGGATTATGGATTCAGGACTAGAGAGAACGTGACACATGCTTGTAAGTTGTAACCCTATTTAAAGAGACGCCCAGAATTTGGTTAGTATATGGTGGCATGGGATGCTTGTAATCCTCTTTATGTGTCCACAAAGAGAATAGTGTTTTTGTGACTAAAACATAATTATCCATAATCAGATCACATGTAGTGTTTATCTCCTTAACCAGATGTCTTTATCCATAATTATTCGATTATCTTAAGGCATTGTAACACTTAGCACGAGTTTTCACATTCAACCCATAATTAAAAAATTCACCAAAAGTCAATTGTAGCTGCCTAGCTGGCTTTATGTCCATAATCTATATCCTCATTGCCAACCTTGTTTTTGGGGGCGTTTTGCTTAAAGCAATTGCTCTTAAGAGATTACTAGGTTTTATGCATACTCCATGGAAAGTCAGAAAATTAGTTTAAATAATTTTCATCAATGTGTCACGTTCTTGATAATCCAATGTGTCGAGTTGAGAAGAATAGGAAGTTGGGGGTTATGAAAAGATGAATTAATTAATGCACAATTTAAATTCATGGTCATTGAATGAATGTGATAATGATTTTTTTGTAAATAAGATGTCAAGTATCCATCCAACCGATTCAGAGCGCCCAACATTCAATTAGCAACAATAAGCATCATAATGACTTCTTTTACAGATGGTGTTGTTAGCACACCCAAGGTTGTTAAACCTCTAAAGGGCCGACCGGTTGGACCATGTTCGACCAGAGTCGGACTCTAAACTGTCACCACAATACGTAGCATAGTATATATAACATGGGTGCCACGAAACACTTGGAAAAGTGTTATATACAAGAAAGGGTAAATGCCACATTTGGTCATTGAGATTACTAAATAATGTCCTGTTTAGTCACTAAAAGAAAATTAATATCAATTTTGATCACTCTCCCGTTAGTTTCGCACCATTCACCCTCTCCTCTTCTACTCCTTGGAGCTTATGAAAGCACACCTAATTTGCAACGACTGACGATTTCGGTACCTTCCATCAATAACCTTACTTTCTCGTTCTATTCATTATCAAGCTACAATGATGTTTGGAATATTATAATGGTGATCTGTTGATGATGAAGGCGAAGAAGAAGCTGAAGCAGGTGTCTGATACCTCAACCTCAGCACAGCAATGGGACCTAGCTGTGAACTAGATAATGACCTCAGCACAGCACTACAATGATGTTGATTCTGACAGCGTTGAATGGCTTCGAGAGGATTTCAGCCAGAGCACGAATCATAATTACCTGAAACAAGATGTGTGCACAATGCAATCCTCCCTGTATTGGGTAAATGACACATTTGATCACTGAGATTACTAAATCGTGTCATATTTAGTCACTAGAAAAATTTAATATCAATTTTGGTCACTCGAATTACTGACACAGGTCACATTTGGTCACTCTTCTGTAGCCTCTGTCCAACTCCGGTCACTCGAATTATTGAAAAATGTCACATTTAGTCACTCATATTACTGAAACATGTCACATTTAGTCACTCTCCCAAAAGTTTCCGTCCAACTACATTAATGGAGTTGGACGGAAACTGACGGGAGAGTGACTAAATTTGACCAGTTTCGGTAATTCGAGTGACCAAAATTGATATTAATTTTTTCTAGTGACTAAACATGACACAATTTAATAATCTCAATGACCAAATGTGTAATTTACCCTCTCTGTATTTTTTGGGTTCAGAAATACCAATCCTAGTGCGTCTCTGTGGCACACTCGATTTTTGGGGTTCATTACTTCATTATACATCTTGGTCTAAAACTAGACACTAATATGAACATGAGTTTGGTCTATTGGTAATACCACTAGTATCTTTTCTTTCTTCTTCTTCCCTTCCGAATTTCTCACTTCTGATTTCCCCATGAGATGGTTTGTTCTTGTTCTTGGGGATGACGGTGTTGAAAAAGAGGGTCAGAAGAGGAACGAGAGAGATAGGGGAAGAGGAGGGTGAGAGTGCTAAAAATCTGCACTCCCCTTCTCTAGGTAATTCTCATCTTCTCCCCATCTCCTCCACAAGCCACCAAGTGGCCCAATCCCATTAATCCCCACACAATCTTTCTAACTCAATTAGTTACACTAACATCTTAGGTTAAGTTAACTTAACCTTAATCTGATTAACCAATCTCCTTCCAATATAATCATTTAAGTACCGTTATAACTAATTCGTAATTTTAATACCAACCAAAATATTGTAATGAAGCACTGATAAATGATAATATAGCCATGAGTGGTAATATGCAACTTTACCAAGTTATATAACAATACAAGTTAAATATTTTGTAACATTCTTATCCTCTTTGACGTATACGACTCATGTATTATCAGCGATGTCATTACAGTGAATTTAAGTGACTCTAGCTAATCTCTGGCTAGCTAATTAAGCTTAGTAGGGTCTATCCTTTCTCAATATGGATTAGAATCAGAAGTAGGAGGAGCGGACCACCCTTCGTCGTCGAAAGGAGAGAAAAACACAGCTTCTGATGTGATGATTCCCAATTCCCCCAAATTGTTAGTGTATACAGAAATAATTTTGAGACGAATTATCCCTATTAATTACCTAGACCTGATGAGCATTGTAATCCATCAGTGTTGTATAGATTGAGATAGAAGGTTGAGGGAGGGTGAGAGTGTAAGGAAGAAGAAAAAGAGTGAACAACAATGTTTCATCCAAAATACGTTGTCCTGGTTTCGTTGGTCGCCTTGCTCTCAGTTTTCCACCTCTGATGTGGTATGTCGTCGTAACTTGTTCTCATTCATTTTGGCTTCGTTAACATGTTTTGGATGAGTATTGACTATTTTTCTGACAATTACGTTGCTACAATGTGTAGATGTGGCCATCCCACATAGTGCAGCCACGATCCGCCAGAATTTCGACCTCACAAGCCATCAGCATACCGAGGTGGTGAACGTCGTCGGTCGGGCTTCGATTTTTGGCACGATCATCGCCGGCCTGATCCTCAACTACTCCGGACAGTGGGACATAATCATGCTCGGATTATGTCTCTACATTGCGGGTGTTGTGCTAACATGCATACGCCCCACCTATGAGGCCTTGTTATCCAGAACATAGAAAAGCACTGGGCCGTATTTCATTAGAAAACTAGAACTGTAAAAAAAAACATTATAGTTTTTTAGAATATAAATTGTAACGACGGTATCTTAATTTAGCGAATACATCAATAATGGAGTCCACATCCATACCAATAGTATACACTGTTTTAAATAAAATACTTGAGCAATCGGCGAGAAATTCGTCGCTCGTTTTGTCGCACAAATCAGTTTTCATATGTTTCATTGTTGAAAAGGTTCTTCTCGTAGTAATTGGTGATACGAGCAGCGTCAACGCTAGACAAATCAATCGTGCATTGTGTGTCCATACCTATATCCACTAGCTGCTTTAGTAAATTTTCAGGGAACAAAACTCATATTTCTTATAGTCTTTTGTTTTAGACTTTTAGAATTTTACATTTCATTGTTTTTCAAAAGAATAATCTTTGGAGCTAGAATTTCTAGGTTAAATTTATAGTAGTGATTTGAATATGTTAATTTGAATCATTTTTCTAGTTACACCCTATCTTATTATAAAATAACACTGGGCCGAATAACTAAAATCGAAAAATTCATAAAAACTATACTAACTCCGGATCCAGATAAAGGGCTGGGCCGGGGCTCGGGGTGGCCACCCCCTGGATCCGCCGGTGCCTTGTTTACATTAGGGTAAGTGTTGGGATACTTGGCCCAGTACTTCATAGGGGCCCACATTGGAGCCAACGCGGCGTACACATGGCGGGTGGTGATTGCCGTTGGAGCGCTCCCTTCCCTTATCGTTGTGGCATTTTTGTGCGCATTTCTCTCCGAATCGATGTGCTCCCTGATCCTCCACGGCATAGTCGGCGACATGGCCGGCCATGGGCCTGTGCTGGTCAGCCGGCCAGCACAGGGCCTCATGATTTTTGGGGCCTCCATAAAATTCAAATTCCTTAAACATTAGTTATTGTTGGGCTAAATTATAGGTATGCTATGAAACAAAACTCTTTTAATTCATGTTTACATGGGCCACAAAAAGAATGAACGGGCCAAAGTTATAAAAACATGAATTAATCTAATGGACTTTAATGGGCCATTTTCCTTCTTATAATTTTTCATAGAAAATTCAGCCCTCAAAGTTAAAACAACCAAGAGCCAACAAAATTCAACACTTGCTGCCAAATGTAAAAAGGGCAAGTCAGCCCATCCCCACGCCAAATTCCATGATGGTTTCGTTACAACATTGTAGTTGTAGCTAATGGCCCAAAATTTAATATAATCAAATGGTACAAATAGTTAGTATCCTTTGAGAATTATACATTTGAACCCAAAAACATTCATACTCATCTAGTATTCTTCTCCTGTATTCTCTATTGGGCAATGTCTATTTTTTACCCAAATCTTTTTCAGATTCTTTTATTTTAACCAAACCTATAGAAATTCTATTTATTATCCAAACGTATAATTTATCAAAGTCTGGGCATTCATTCTGTTACCGTTACTTATTTCGTCCACGTGAGGGGTGGGATTTTGTTTAGTTTTTTTTATAATCTTTTTATTAAAAAGAGTAAATGATGGTATTCTGACCGTCATGTAGGAAGTCAACTCATTATGGTCATATACTTAGTCAGCATTACTAACAAAAAAGTTGACGGAGAGTTAACGTTTGGATAATTTTTAGGAATTCTATAGGTTTGGTTAAAATAAATGAATCTGAAAAAGGTTTGGGTAAAAAATAGACATTGCCCTTCTCTATTCTACTCTTCACTTTTTTAAATTCGTCTAATATTTTACTCAATTGAGGACTTCTAACATATCCAGGTGGGTCCAGCAGATAAACTAATTTTCAAAAGAGTTAGTGTTTGGATTCTTATATTTGTTTCACTCTCTCAATAATCAATTTTGTATCATTTCACTCTTTCAAAAATCAATTTTGTATTGTATCTTCATTTTTTATTATTATTTAATAATAAATTTATGGGAACAAATTTTTAGGGCCATATTTTAAATTTTCGAACAGGGCCTCCGATGATCATGGGCCGGCCCTGGTCGGCGAAGCTAATGATATCATGAAGAAATACGGCGCCGACCAGAGCGAGCTATCTTTCAGA